GCACCAGGGATGGGGCTGGCACAGCAGGCTGGGGATTGAAACCCGGCCGCTGTGTCTTCCTAAGCAGGAGCTTTAATTCACTGAGCTATTTGGTCAGCCCCTCGAAATGTTTTTTGATTAAAACACAGATTGGTGATTTAGGATTATCTCACTGCAGTGTGCTATAGTTTTGCTTGTTGCCATTTATCTCAAGGTTGTAGTCTTATGCTTGGAAGCACTGTTGAGACATCAACACAGACACAAATTACTTACAGTTGTTGAGAGATCATTTGTTTCATCAAGAAAAGCATTTAATCTGTCTTCTTTTTCCAAAATTATATCAGTATTTTGGATCAGATCATTTTTTATATCATTCACTTGACTCCTTATGGAAATCATGCTGTCAACTTGATTATTATTGTATTTCATCTATATAGAAGTGAAATATAATACAAATTTATTTTTTATAAGTAGAATTTATTATACTATAGTATACAAACAGAACAAAAGTGTCAACTCACATGTATAAGGAATCAACTGAAGCTCAAATTGTCCATCTCAATCTTAAAGAAAGATGGGTATTCAAGCAGCAGTTGCATTTAAAAAAAAATTAAATTATTTAATTTTAAAAATAGACTTTATCTTTCAAGCTAGCTTTAGGCCCAGAGTAAATCTGAGCAGAAATTACCCAGGTTTCCCATCTAGTCTTTTGTTGCCATACACGCACACATACAATTTTCTTTCTTTTTTTTGGACCTGAAGATTGAATCCTGGGCCCTCACACTGACCTACCTCACTGACCTGCATCCCTATCTCTTTTTTTCTTATTTTTTTGACAGCTTCTTGGTAAGTTATTAAGTTGTCCAGGCTGGGCTCAAACTTTCCTCAGGTTCCTGGAGTGCTGGGATTTTAGGAGTGTGCTACTATGCCTGGCTTAAATGTGCTATTCTGTGCAAATATCCCTGTGTGTGAATATATTTGCACATGAAAGTGCATACAAATATGCTCATTGAGCCATTTTAAAAAATGTATTTAGGACAGGGTCTCCAGGGTCTCACTGTGTCCATATATCAGACTCGTAGTGACTCTTCTGTGTTCAGCCTCCCAAGAGCTGGGATTATAGGCGTGTGTCACCATGCCCAGTCTCAATCGCCATCTCAGTGTGCCCTGGGGGCAGGGTCAGCACAGCAGGCTGGGAATCAAATACCAGCCACTGTGCTCTGGCTAAGCAGGAGCTTTAGTCCACTGAGCTATCTGGCTAGCCCTTCATTGAGCCATTTTACTGATGAAAAATTATATGTAATTTCTATATCAATTTATAGGGGAATGGTTAAATAAATTATGGCACTATCTTGTAGTTCAAAATTGGTAATGCACACAGACTAAAAAAAAAATTTCTAGTATATATTCTTTCATTAAAAAGGTACAAAATAATATAATTTGTTTAACACTTAGGATGTCCTAGGTACTTTTAAAAGGTGCTTTACAAATATTAGCTCATTTGATTCCTAAATTTCTGCATCAAGTAGCACTGTTGTCATCTTTTACCTTCTAAATAAACTGTGATAGAGTTAAATTAATATTTCGCCCAAGGGTACACAGGCAGAACAAAGGCTCACAATCACAGCTGGGGTGTAGCTGCGAGGCAGAATGCTCATCTAACATGTGTGAGGTCCTGGGTTCAGTCCCCAGCACTGCCATTAAAAAAAAGAAGAAAAAGCAAAACAGATTTATAGTCAAGGAATGCCATATTTGAGGATTTTACCCATTGTACAAACAATCCGTTTTCTTTATTTAAAGAGTATGTACAGGTCAAGTGTGGTGGTTCATGCCTGTAATCCCAGCAATTGGGAGACGGGGCATGAGGACTGCTGTGAGGTCGAGGCCAGCTTGGGTTATGTCACGAGTTTGAGCCTATCCTGTACCACACAGTATGACTCTGTCTCAAAAGAAAGTATGTAGAAATTTATGTTAGATATATATTACAAATAGACACTCTCCCAATAATTCTGGAGATTACATACAGAATTGTTAAAAGTGCTCACCTTTGGGGTGTGTGATTCATATTGTAAAGAGATATTCATATTTCCTTTATAATTTAAAATTATTTATTTATTTATTTATTTAGGCAAACCAGGGATTGAACTCAGGCCCTTGAGCTTGCCAGGGAAGCGCTTATTCCACTGAGCCATCTCCCCGGCCCCTAAAATCATTTATTTGATACAGAGTCTCATTATGCAGTTCAGACTCGTAGTGATCCTCCTGTCTCAACCTCCCTAGAGTTGGGATTACAAGCATGCGCCACTATGCCTGATTTCAGGGCCAGCAAGGCATGCCTGGGGTTCCAGGCCAGCACAGCATGTGGTACCAGGGATTGAACTCAGGTCCTTGTGCTTGACAGGACCACTGAACTATTTCCCCAGCTATATTTTAGAATTACCTCACATTATTAGTGAGCACTGCTTTTGCAACAGGAAATGACATTAAAACTTCCTTCTCTAGGGAAGTGAATCTAATCCACTTTAAATAGATCTTTGACTTTGCAATGAAACATACAACTGATATTCTGCGAAGTGCTCACTGCTTACATATGCAAAAGGGAGCATTTAGGGTTGAATTCTGTCCCCTAAAAGATATGTTGACATCCCAACTCTGTGTGGCTATGAATGTGACTTTATTTGGAAATACAGACTTCACCCAAAATATGTATACACATTCAGGAATAGAAAAACTTTTGGGGTTGGGTGCACTAATTATAAGAAATGTAATAACTGTATAAAAATTTGTATAGATTTAAGGCTTATCAGGTTAGTTTATAAATGTAAAACATATTTCTTGGCTTTAGATAGGCCGTTTGCTTACAAATATGTATATTTTTCCACATAAATTAGTTTTCAGGGAGCTGAACTAATATATTTTCTTCTGTTGAATAAGTGGTATTTATCATAATGAAATACATAAAATTAATATGAAATAATATAGTTTTTAAAATTTTATTTATTTATTTACTTTAGGACAGTCTTGCTACATTTCAGGCTGGCCTTGAATTCACTATGTAGCTCAGATTGGCCTCAAACTCATGGTGATCCTCCTGCCTCCCAACTGGGATTGCAGATGTGTGCCACCTTGCCTAGCTTATTTTATTTATTTATTTATTTTTGCTGTACCAGGGATTGAACTTGGGACCTTGCGCTTGCCAGGCAAGCACTTATTCTACTGAGCTATCTCCCTGGCCCTATCCTTAGTTATTTTGTCAGGCTGTGTGGTAGACACATGCAATCATGATTTCCAAGGAGTCACATCACTCTCTAATCTCTTAATCTTGAGCATGTCTCGCTTCTAATCAACAGATGCAAGGTGATGTGTTTCACTGCTGTGATTATGACACAAGGTATGAAACTCTAAATAGACTAGAGTGGGAGAGTCCCCTGCTGGTCTGGAAGAAACAAGCACCCACACTGAGGGAGCCCTCATGCAAAGGCAGAAACTAGTTTGCAGGTTCTGACTTTGCCTGTGCTGCCGCCAGCTTAGAGCTGTGTCTTCACAAAGAGACTCCAACACCTGAGTGAGCTCAGCGCTCACTAGAGCTTCCAGTGAGGACACAGCTTGGAGGACACATGGAGGATCCCGAGGGAGAGAGCCTCAAGAGAGAGATCCTCAGCAGAGAACACAGCCACGCCTGGACTTCCATGCCATAGATCCATAAGACAGGCATGGGTGTTTCTTGGCTTGCTAAAAATAGTTTTATTAGGAAGGAGTTCAGACATACACAAGTGGAGTGAACCCTCAGGTACCCATCACTGGTTCAGCAACTATCCACACATGACCAATCATGTTTTATCTGTAGCACTTCCCCTTCCCCAAGCAAACACCAGATTCTAGCACTTTAATCAGTAAATGCTTAGCTTTATATCTCTAAAAGATATGCCCACATTTAAAAAAACCTCACAGTATTATCATCTCTCAAAAAAGTTCTTGATATCATATAAAATGCCTACAGTTTGTGCCTATATTTATCTAAAAAAGTCACTGCAACCAGGTGTGCTGGTGTATGCCTGTACCAGCATTCCTGAGAGGCTGAGGCAGGAGAATCACACATTTGAGCCCTGTGTGGGCAATGTAGTAATTTAGTAAGATCCTATCTCAAAATAAAACATAAGAAAAGGGCTGGTGATGCAGTTCAGTGTGAAGGCCCTGGATTCAATTTCCAGTCCTGCCAAAACAAAAACAAAAACAAAAAACCAAAACTCCACAAACCTCAGTTTTTTAGTACTACTTCTGTTGAACCCGGATTCAAAATTCACATACTGTTGGGCATAGTGGCTCATCTCAGTAACTCCAGCACTCTGGAAGCTGAGACGGGAAAATGGAAAGTTTGACCCCAGCTTCGGTAGTTTAGCAACTTCATGAGATCCTGTCTCATAAATGAAAAAACGCTGGGGATGTAGGCAAGGGTGAAGGCTCTGGGTTCAATTCCCAGCACCATGAAAACAAAACAATCAAAATGACATATTACATTTGATTAATATCTGTTATGTCTTCTTTAGTCACAAGTGTTCTTATTTTGGATTTTGCTGATTACCTTATTTCATTATCATTTAATAAAATAAATGGTCATTGATCTATTTTCTCTAACTGGAGTCAGAGGTAAGGGTTGGTCAGATTCAGGTTGGATGTTTTGGAATAAGAATATTTCAGATATGTGCTCCTCTACACATTTTCTGATTGTCTTTTAATTGGAGGTTAGGAAAAAATACCAGTGGCGTTGGGGGTTTTGAGCCTGTTTCACCCATTATGAAGTTCTCCATCAATGTTTCACCTCATTTTTAATCAGTTATTGATGATAATTGTCTATGTCCATTATTTCATTGGGGATTAAAAATGGCAGCATTTTATCACTTTATCATTTATTGGCTGAGATACTTTGACAAAGCAAACACAACTCCCTCTGTCAACTATGTTCTCTGAGGCACATTTGGCAAGTAATATCTTCCAAAGTTGATTGATGAGGGATATCTCTCCCCTTTGTTAGTGTCTAGGTATTCATGGAGTTTAACACATTTGGTGTATTACAACCCACTATATTGAGGGTGTCTGGGGTGTGTGTGTGTGTGTGTGTGTGTGTGTTTCAGTATATACATGTGTTGGGCACTTGAACTCGAGGAGTGCTAAGCTACACCTCTAAGCCCTTATACATGTTTTAGTTTGACTCAGGGTCTTGCTAAGTAGCCCAGGATGGCATCAAACTTAAAGCCCTCCTACCTCAGACTCTTGAATATCTGGGATTACAGATGTGGGTATTAGATGCTTGGATTATTCTATTACTGGCCAGAGCAGTTTCTTATTGCTGGCACCTTTTACCTGAGCTCACTGATTGGTAGGTTCCTTATTTAAGATGTGATGTTTCCAGCTTATATATTTTTCTGTCTCATATCTGGACTTAGGCCCCATTTCTCTGAATCAAAGATGATATTTAGACATTATGATTGAGACTGGGTTGGTTTTTAGGCTTTTTCAGTGGCTAAACAAGAAACCAAAATATTTTGGGGGAAAATTTGGGATTAGAAGGGTTTGGCTTTTTAAAATATTAAATAAACTTACTGGTATATTTTAGGTATACAAAAATGATCACATTCATTACAGAGAATGTGAACCTATACACAATATAACTTGATTCTTTTTCCCATTCCCCTACCATCCTTCAACCCCTCTTCCCCTCATTTACAGAAGCTTTGTTTCCATTTTTTTCTTTTCTGATTTTTATATTTGCACTGTTCTGAGAATCTTGATTCTTCAATTGTTCAAATATATACTTACATTTACATAAGCCAATTTGAGAACAGTAATAGCAGTATTAGTACTAACAATGTAGCTCTTCAAAACAGAAGCTTTAAAGTTTAGTTCTAGTTCTTTTTTCTCATTAAGATATAATCTCACAAGGAAACAAACTGAAAGAATTTTTAGGGGCTGGGGAGATAGCTCAGTAGTCTAAGCACCTGCCTGGCAAGCGTAAGGACCTGGGTTTGACCCTTGGTACCACATGCCCTGCTGGCTCCGTGCTAAGCCAGCCACCAAGTCTGGGTGTGGTGGTGCATACCTGTAATCCCAGCACTGGAGAGCCTGAGACAGGAGGACCACTATGAGTCTGAGCTGTGTAGTGAGACACTGTACCAAATAAATGAATAAATGAATAAATAAATAAATAGATTTTAAAAAAGAATTTTATTGCATCACTGAAATGTGTACAGTCTTTTAACTTTTTAAGTTAATATACAGTGAAGTTTTTTTTTGTCATTTTGCTTTTGAGTTTTACGGATTACTTTAAAAATTAAAAAAATTATGATAAATACATATTCTGTCATAAAATTTATCAATTTCAAATTTTTTTTGGAGACAGGATCTCAATATATAGTTCAGGTTAGCCTTGAACTTGCAGCCATCTTCTTGCCTCAGCCTCTTAAGTACTGGGGCTATAGGCAGGTGCTACCACACCCAGCTCAATTTTAACAACTTTAAAGTGCATAGTTCAGTGGCATCAGTACATTTATATTGTTATGCAATTGCTACCATGATCCATCTGCAGAACTTCTTCAGCTTTCCAAATGGAACCTCATGCATGGCAAACACTGACTGGTATGTCCCCCTATCTCCCCAAACACCATTCTACTTTCTATCTACTCCAGGCAGTTGAAGTGGAATCCTAGACTTTAGTGACCTCTTATTTCACTTACTAGGGACAATTTTTAACATTTTAATTTAACTGTATTTCATAATTATATAAAGCCTTTACTAGGCTCCACAGTTAAATTTGCAAGAGAAGTTTCCCCAAAGCTGCTTAGTTTTTCTCTTCTTTTTCTTTTTTCTTCTTTTCTTTTCTTTTTTTAGTATTGGAGGTCGAACTCAAGACCTGTGCTTGCCAGGCAAGTGCTTCAGCCACTAAACTATCTCCCCAGCCCAAGTTGCTTAGTTTCTATTCCTGTCATTCTCCCTTCTTTCTCTCCTCATCCCCACAGGGCTAATCATGTGTTTATTTTTGGTTTATTCTTCCCCTTCCCTTTTATTTTTACTTTATTCATTTGTTTTTAACTTTCTGCCAAACTTTATTCTAGAGGGCCTCAGTCCTTCTTGGCAGCTGCCTTCCTCATGGCGGCCAGCAAGTTGCTCAACTCCTCACACTTCCTCTTGGCATGGATGTGCATCCCAACCCTTTTCTTGATGAACTTGAGGGCATGCTTGTCCTTGGAGCCCTTGAGCATTTCTATGGGGTGCGGCTCGCTCATAAGGGTGAAGCTGCACACTTCCCAGGTCATGTCTCGCACTAACTTGGTGTGTTTGGTGAGATGTCTGAGACGGTGGCTATGCCTCCGTTTACTCACATTCTTAGTCACCTTGTGGCCCTTGTTGAGGCCCATGGCCATGGGACAGCAGAGAGCCATGGCCGGGAAAAGCAGAGAGGAGGGCTACTATTCTTTGATGGTTGCCATGGCAGAAGGACCTCCATTTTATTTATTTATTTATTTATTATTTATTT